CTCTCCAACTGCCAGTACAGAGTGGAACAAGGTGGAGAAGCCCTGCAAGAGTTTGACCTGGAGAAGATCCAGCGGCAGGTCATGAGCCGATTTCTGCAGGGCAAGCCCAGGCTTACGCTGAAGGTATGGCTGCCCCGCGGTGTGTCCATTCCAGTTTGCTTCCATCACAGGGCTGTCTTTCATTTTTATTATGAATTGGGTGAAGGTTTACATCCATCAGCTTGTACACATTTTGTTTCATGTCATTGATTGTGATAATAGCACATCATTTATCCCACTTCCTCCTCGTGTTTCTTGTTTCCATTCCACCTCTTCTCCTAACCCCTTTGAACCTTGTCTTTAGGTGAATGCTGCCCTTTTCATCTCAACTGTTTGATTACTCTTCGTGTGTGTACTTCCCTAGGGGTGGTGTTCCCCTTGTAGATCTGTTGTTAGGCTGAAAACTGAGCCATGGGCTTGATTGAGTTCACTTCTAAACCTGAAGGGTGACAAGGGACCAGGGTTCAGTTGGTCTCTTTAGGACCAGTAAAGCTGGTCTCTTTATGATTTTGAGTTTTATTCCACTCTCTCCAGGACCTTTAATATGATAGTCTTCACAGCAGTTGGGAATGGTAGCCGGGCACCATCTAGCTCTTCTAATTTCATGGTCTTGGAGGATGCGGTCTGTGTGGTACATTAGTCCACTGTTTCTCTGTAGTGTGCTCATTTGGTATGGCTTCCATCACAGTAGTTTTGCAGTGAAACTAGAGGGATTTCACAATTCATCTCATTCACATCCACAGTCCCAGGACCACCAGTCACATGTGTATCGCAGGGCTAAACATCTCCCCTGAGCGTTCTTCTTGCAACTGCACCTATTGCCCCAGGCCTATCTTAAAATCGTATTAGAATTGACATCTGGGTCTTTCTAACATAGTTAATGACATCCCCAATAAGCAAGACCAACCTCACCGCCATCTTTTCCCTCTTTTCTTTAGGCCCCACACAGTCTGTCATCAGGTACTGTCAAGTGTGTCTTCTCTGTATCCCTCTGAATGATCACAACCACTGCTGTCACTTAAACCATCTGTGCTGAAGAGAGACCCCGCATCCTTCAGCCGTATGAGCAGTCATCATGGTGTCCACACCCTGAGCTTGGCCTCTATCCAGCCCGTCTTCAGCCTCTGCCCACCAGCCTCCTTGGGTCTTCTGATCTCCCCCATAGCTCATACTTCCTACACTGACACACTAGTCTCTCTAGATAAAAATATGTATTTCTAGATAAGTTTTTGTAAAAACAAACACAAAACTTTGCATAAATATGTATAATCTTATTTTTAGGGACTACCCACTCTGGTATATCGACAGGACTGGAACTATGAGCATCTTTTCCTGGACATCAAGAACAAGATGCCACAGGTGAAGCGAAGGAAGCAGCTCTGTTTGCACAGTTCTTTTCCTCTGCCAGTGTCCTCAACCATACTACCGAGGCAGCCACCTCATTCCAAAGGCCTGGGAGTCCCCAAGAGTCCCAGGGGCTGTTTAACTGCCCCTAGCCCAGTGCTCATTCCCATGGGCAAGCAGGATATCCAATATGCAAGCGTTTTCTTGTTGAGCATAATCAGGTTTCAGTCTGAGAACTGGTCATCTCTTACTCGGGAGTGTGTGCACTGAAGCAAAAAGACCAGAGCATATATTCCTACACACACACCCTCTTGCTTTCTAGACAGACAGATGCATGCATACACGCATAAACGTGGTCCTCTAAGGATTAAATGAGTTTCCATTGTTCTGGTGTTTGCCTCATCTTGTGGTCTTGAGCTTGGAAGAAGGGAATCTGGTTAGGGGGCAATAAACTAAAATTCTACCTCCTGGGCCCTGGCCTGCTTTTGCTCCCCAGAGCACTCTCCCCGACACGGTCCTCAGCGCCCTCCGTGGACAGCTGCAGTCCTTCAGCGACGCCTGTGAAGCTCTGTCGGTCACAGAAGTCACCTTGGGCTTTCTGAGCACAGCGGGTGGTGACCCCAACATGCCCTTGAAGGAGTATATCCAGGACGTCCTGCGAATGCGTGATCAGACAAGCCCTGCTTTACAGGTCGGTCTTACATTAAGGTTTTGTCAAAAGCAGTCTGCATGGCCCCTGGCCTCAGTTTCCACACTTTGTACTAGAAATGTCACTATTCAGGGACGATTAACCCAGGCGCCCTGAGAAGGAGGTGCAAAGAGAACACCGGCTCGCCCGGTGGTCCACGTGTAGACAGAATGCACTCTGGGCAGCACAGACAGCGATGTGCTTGAAATGCTAATCATGTAGACCAGGCGTCCTCAAACTACGGGCCGCATGGGGACCACCAAGGGCATTTATCCAGCCTGCCGGGGGTTTGCCCTGCTTGTTTTTTTACTTCAAAATAAGATCTGTGCAGTGTGCATAGGAATTTGTTCATAGTTGGTTTTTTCAAAACCGTAGTCCGGCCCTCCATCGGGTCTGAGGGACAGTGAACTGGCCCCCTGTTTAAAACGTTTGAGGACCCCTGGTCTAGGCAGTGCACCTGGATGTGGCTGAGGAACAAGCCGATGCCTGAGGATTCTGAAGGACCGGAGGAGGGAGGATCATTCAGAGGAGTTTGAAGCTGAAGCAAGGGCATCAGCAGCCTGCAATAGGGATGGTGTCACACGGCACAGAGAAGTGTACAGAGCAGAAAGGACCGTGTGGAAGAGCAGTCAGACCCACTGCCTGGAGGTGAGGCCTTCTCCGCTCAGGAGTCTGCTCCTCTTTCAGGCCTTAAGCGGTTGTCGGTTAAAGCACGTCACTGCCCTGTGGTGGTTCCTCTCTGCGCACAAGTGCGAACAGCTCCTGCGACAGGGAAAAGTAAGTCGCTCCCCGAGCCTGGACTGTGGGCAGCGCTCTCCTCCTCTGCTCCTGAGTGTCTGTTGGCACTTGTTCCTATTTCCCTTCAGGATCCCTTTAAGGACATCAGTTCCCAGTACAAAGTGCCTCTCAGGCCGGAAGCTGAAAAACTCCTCAGCACCTTCCTGCATCACACTGACCTCGAGGCCTTCTTGCTGGAGCTTCATGAAATGATGATCCTGAAACTCAAGAGCCCTCGCGCGGAGGAGGACTTCAACCCTGCGTGGAGGTAAGGCCTTCACTGCCCGATGTTCTGCTGTCTCCTAGCAATAAAACTTAGGAGTTCTTGACTTGCAAGACTCTGCCTCCTGCTCTTCCACCAGGGCACCTGAGAGCTGGCTTTTTTTTGGTTTGTTTCCATCTCTGTTGGGTTCAGTGTTGTTAATAATCACACAACTTATTTGTTCTCATTATAACAAGCAGACTTACTATGGCAGATAGAAGTACATTTTAAATTTCATAGGAAAATCTCCACCAATGTATAAACAGTATATTAGAATATGCAATGCTGAATATTATCCCCTTTTTACATTTTTGCCAATCTTCCCATGGTTGACTGTTGAGACTGATCATGTGTTTACATTTGTTAGCCATCGGTAACATTTCTGAGTTATCTCTTAATGTTGTTATGTGCTCTCCCGTGGAGTCTGACTCCATGCAGCCCTGTATGCAATGGGACAGATCCTGCCTGGCGCTGAGCCCCCTGCTGCAGTCATCTTCCTTGAGGGCCTTCCTCTACTTGACAAGAGTGTCCTTTTCCAGGGCTGGTCTCTCCTGCTCACAGGTCCACAGCACATGAGACCAAGTCTCCCCTTCTCATCTCTAAGAAGTACTCTGATTGTACTTCTTCCACAGATTTGTTGTGTTACTGACAGTCCTCGGGACTTTCCGTATTCTTCACCATAAACCAAATGCACCAACTCTTCGTTGGTCGTCTTTAGTTGTTGTCTAACTTTCACATGTATATGAAGCCATTGAAAATACCATGGTTTGAGTCAGACACACTTTAGTCCTCAAAGTTATGTTCCTGCTCTTCAACACTTTATAGAGGTCTTGTGCAGTTGTGTCCAATGTAATACGTCATTTCATGTCATGCCTATTGTTTTCACCAGCATTGACTGTGGAACTAAGTATTCTGAAATCCTTGACAACTTCAATCTTTTTTTTTTTTTCCTCTTTATGTTGAGGTTGTTTATTGGTCAAGCTGTGGAGGATTTTTTTTTCTCTTTCCATTGAAATGCAATCCATATAGAAGGTTGCAGTCTCTGAATTTCATCACCAAGTGCCTGAACTCCTCCTCACTTTCAGCAAGCAAGCTTGTGTCACCCGCATAGTCAGCTTGTTGATAAGCCTTTCTGCAGTCCTGATGCTACATTCCTCTTCATATAGTCCAACTTCTCTGATTACATGCTCAACACACAGACTGGATAAGATGCAGCCCTGACACACACCTTTTCTGATGTTACACCATACAGCATTCCCTTATTTTGTGCAAATGACGGCCTTTTGGTCCATGTACAGGCTCCACATGAGCACGATGAAGTGTTCTCGATTCCTCAGTCTTCTCAAGGTGATCCATAGTTTGTTTTATGATCCATACATTTAAATGCCTCTGAATATTCAATAAAATATAAGGAAACATCTTTCTGGTATTGTTTGCTTTAAACCAAGACCTATCTGACTTCAGCAATGACATCCCTGTTCCACATCCTCTTGTGAATCTAGTTTGAATTTCTGACAGCTCCCAGTCAATGTATTCTTCCAACCATTGTTGAATTATTGTCAGTAAAATTGGACTTGCAAATGATATTATTCGGTCATTTCCACATTCTGTTCAGTTGCCTTTCTTTGGAATGGGTTGCAGATGGGGATTTTCTCCAATATGTTGGTCAGGATTTTCCCCCAAATTCCTTGCCAGAGGCAAGTGAGTGCTTCTAGTGCCTCAGTGTTCATTGTTAGTCCATCCATTCCTGGAGCCTTGTTTTCACTGATCCTTCAGTGTTGCTTGGACTTCTTGCTGTGTTCCTTCTCTCTTCTGTTTTTTGTAATCGTCTTATTAGGGGCTCCTACAACTCTTATCACAATCCAGACATACATCAATTGTGTAAAGCACATTTGTATATTCATTGCCCTCTCATTTTCAAAACATTTGCTCTCCACCTAAGACCCTGGCATTAGGTCCTCATTTTTCCCCTCCCTCCCCGCTCCCCCCTCCCCCATGAACCCTTGATAATTTATAAATTATTATTTTGTCATGTCTTGCACTGTCCGACGTCTCCCTTCACCCACTTTTGTGTTGTCCGTCCCCCAGGGAGGAAGTTATAAGTTGATCCTTGTAATCAGTTCTCACTTTCCAACCCACCCTCCCTCCATCCTCCTGATATCACCACTCTCACCATTGGTCCCGAAGGGATCATCCGCCCTGGATTCCCTGTGTTTCCAGTTCCTATCTGTACCAGTGTACATCCTCTGGTCTAGCCAGATTTGTAAGGTAGAATTTGGATCATGATAGTAGGGGGGGAGGGGGGTGGGAGAGGAAGCATTTAGGAACTAGAGGAAAGTTGTATGCTTCATCATTGCTACATCGCACCCTGACTGGCTCGTCTCCTCCCTGAGACCCTTCTGTAAGGGGATGTCCAGTGGCTGACGAATGGGATTTGGGTATCCACTCCGTACTTCCCCCCTCATTCACTATGGTGCTATTTTTTGTTCTGATGATGCCTGATCCCTTCGACACCTTGTGATCACATCTTCCCTCTTCTCTTGATGCTCCCTACATCACTCAATATTTTGCCCATAGAATCCTTGAATAGTTCAACCCAAGCCTTAAATGTTCTCTTTAGTTCTTTCAGCTTGAGCTTTGTCACCTAGTTCTTCCTCTCTCGCTTTCTAATGCCATGTCTTTGCACATGCCATTAAGATATTCTACTTTAGCTTCTCCAATTGCCCTTTGAAATGTTTTGTTCCGCTCTTTTACTTCCTCATCTGTCCCCTTTGCTTTAGTTACTCTGTGTTCAAGAGCAAGTTTCAGTCTCTTCTGATATCTTCTTTGGCATTTTCTGTCTTCCCTGTGTCTTTAGTGACCTTTCAGTTTCCTCATAGGTGATGCTCTTGATGTCACTGAATGCTCAATATTACTTCTTTTGCCTTATGAGCACTTTGGTCTTGTAACTACTACAACAACTGACAATTGAGTGCTTCCCTTTTGTTATTTGGGAGCCTCTTTTAAATGCTGTCTCTCGTTCCTTGTTTTATCAGCCTCAGAGACACTCTGGTAGGTTACATGGACACGAAAGAGAGGGACGTTCTTCCTGAAATGGAATCTCAGTTCCCAGAAGGCATCCGGCTCTCCAGTTGCATACCTGTGTGGACCCTGGCAGGCAGGCTGAGACAGGCCCGGCACCGGAGCTAAAACAGCCCTGCAGCACTGCTCCCGGATAAGACTTGGAATGAGAAGGCCTGTTTTCCCTCCCCACTGGATGCCATCACAGAAGGTCGGGACACTTTTTGGAGTGCTTATTCACACTAAATCCAAGACCAAGGTGTGATGTGAACTTTTACTATTTTAGAATCAAGCTGCTTCAAGAACAGGTGTCTATTTCAAAACGTTCTCATCAGGCTTTAAATACTCTTCAGGGGGTGAGGGTTGAGCGCTGTCCTTCACATCGAGGGCGCACACAGAAGGGTAGCTTCTCAGAGACAGTGATGGCCTGCAGGACCCTGAACCCGCACAGAGCCAGCTACCAAGTGCCTCCCTCCTGGGACTGCGGCCTAATTCGAGGGAGGGAAACAACGGAGGGATTAAGTGTTTGCTTTTATTTTGTTCCTATGTGTTTTCCTTCTGCGCTCATGAAAGAACCCTAGCTTTCCTCTTCCCGGAATTCTGAGGGTTGGACGGCTGTTCCTAGGGCGTGAAGACGATGTGACAAACTGCAGACATTCCTCTCGCTCTCTCCCTTTCTTTCCAACACAAGTGAACTCATGGTTTTTTGTGAGTGCCCAAAAACTGGAGTTTGACAAGAAAATCGGACTCAGGCCCCACAGGGTCTCACTGCTGTATTTCAAAGGCTAACGGCCAATCTGCTGTTATGTGGGAAGTGCTGGATTAGGAGTCTAGGACATTCTGGGCCCACGTTTTATCGTCCAGAAAATGAGACCCTGAATTGATGGCCAAAGTTCCTCCCAATTCTAATCACTGGAAATTCTAAATCAAAGGTTATTAATTCAACGTGGGTCAAAGGTGTGGCTCTGGTACTCCTTTGAGTAATTTTTGATCATGTAGCATTGAGCCAAATAAACATGTAGACTTATGTGATATAGAGTCCCCAGTGCTCAAATATCTGATCCTCTCGTTCAGTCTAACCAAGGCCTAACTGACACTCAGGGTACAAACCAGCTCAGTTTCTGAAAACAGAAAGCCAACCAGTCCTCACTTTCTGCTGCAACCCTCATGTGAAGAAGTCTCGTTTGCTTATTTGTTTTGTTTTTACCACCAACATCTCGACTAAATCCTGTACCTAGATAGCTCAGCAGCCATGTTTGCACTGCTTTAGATACCAACTGTTTACAAGTTAGTGGCAAATGTCCTTAACATAACTTCTAACTGAGCTAATTTCAATTTCAACCTAATGAAATTGAGTCCATCTGGCGTGAGAACTAGAAAACTACAAAGTACACGTAGACAATGTGACCACAGGCACCTGAGGCACCACTGGAAGATGTGGCAGAGGGACTCACTGTGCACATGAGGTTTACATTCTCTCCATGGTGCTCGATGGAGGGTATCCAGACCTAGGTTAGAATCCATTGGGTGCATTTTCCTCTTGCA